ACCATTGGTCTCTATATAGACCAATTGTTCTGTATAAAGACGTTTTGTCTGTATAAAGACTTTTGGTCTCTATATAAACCAATTGATATTTATAAAGACATCTGCTTGAATTATTATTTTAAATATTAAAATCTACCCTCCTCCCTATTACACTTTGTGTCACATTTGTTTATGAAAAATTTCATCATTGTCTGCATTGACATTTCAAGTTATACTCGTTTTGAATTTTTGTTGTTTTGGTTCGGCGCATCTCAGCCAATGTCTGGCTTAGTACATGTGCCATTGCCAGAATAGACAACGACGACGATGACTATACCACCTTAAATGTTTCTGAACTTTTCATGCGACGAGCCAGAAAACGCAACAACCTCAACTTCCCTCCAATTGTACCGAACTCGGAGGAGAATTGTTTTTCGACAACTTGGGTGACAAATGTGTCAATTCAGTTTTTCGTTTCTTGGTAAAATGTCTCCTATGCCGGCTGCTGTTGCTGTGAATGGTTGTGCCACAAAATTGTTTGTGTAACTTATGTACGACTGGGGTCGTCATCCTTCATCCTGCTGTTGTGTGTGTGTGTGTCTGTATGTGTGTTACGTGTCTGTAAGATGTCTCCTTAAGACAAGATTAAGCTAAAAGTTTTGGGGTGCTTGCATTCATCTGCAAGAATGGTGACAATAAAAATTGGATTTGTTTTCTGCAAAAGCGAAAAAAAATTGACAAACAAACAGAACAGAACACAAAAAAGTTGAGGACCACATACATAACACAACTAGTACTTGCCAAACATTTAATTGTTCCAAGAAGATTTTTGTTGTTGTTTTTTCTATTCATTTTTAGTTTGATGAAAACTTGTTGCTGCTCTACCACGACAAGTTGAGATTTTGTTTTGATTGTTAAGTAAATCTCAAGTGAGTTTTTTTTAGGAAAGAAACCATTTTTGGATTTGTATTTTTAAAATATTGGGTTTTAAATGTTAATTCAAGGATAACAATGTTTTAAGTGGAGATTGGGAAGATGTAGTATACCAAACTAGAACAAAAAAGAAAAAAACTTCGAAATATCTACTTATTGGCACATCTTTTGGAAAATGTGGTTAATAGTATCGAAATGCCTAAAAAGGGCAAGAGCTGTTATATTTAAGTAATGGATATATTCTACGAAGATTTTTTTCTGTTTTACTTCCATGAACTTGGAATTTGGATATAACTTTCAAAATACCTAAAATGAGGCGAATATTTATATGGGGTGTTGTCAAAACGCGGACCTATATTGAGAATTAGCTAGTATTTTCTGAAAACCTAAAATGCCGACATTACAGCTATTTAGGTATAAAATGGGCTATCTCTTCACAATTAAAAAAATGATATGACAGTACAGCGATAAAGCATCACGTTAAAAAATGAGACATCTTAATATGCGTTCTACATCGCTCTGAAAAAAAAATTAGAAAAATAGGAAAATACAGAAGTCGGACGGGGCCGAATATATGATACCTTTCACCACATTGGGTACCTACAAGAGATGCACATATGTAGAATATCCTATAGATAGGCATACCATATTTGGAGGACCATTAAAATGGAAGCGGACGAAATTAACTTGGTGAAGTAATAGATATTTGAACTAAATTAAAACAACACATACACATACCAATCTGAAATTTAATATCAATCATCGAATCATCAAAATATGTATACGATCTATATATAAATGGATGTATTTGAGCAACAGTGGCATCCACCATTTGGTATTCTGCAACACAGTGCGCTCACCAAAATTTATCTCGACACAAAGTCCAATACACGTTATTCTAGGTTCTATGTTCGTCCTAAGGCGACAAGCATTAGTTATTTGGTACATCATTTTGATGAAATCGGATGAAACTATATATGGAAGCTATATCTAAATCTGAACCGATTCCAAGAAAACTTCGCATACATACATTTGGACTTAATTCAGTATACTGTGCAATAGTTTGTGCTAATCGGCCTAAATTTCACTTTTTGGTGTTCCATTTACATAAATCCGAACGAAACTATATATGGGTGCTATATCAAAATCTGAACTGTTTTTTCCAATTTCAAAAGGGTCCGTCCTTGGGCCAAATAAGTGACATGTGCCAAATTTAATCCAAATCGGATCATAAATGTGACTTGTACTTTGTTCACAAAAATAAATGGACGGACAGACGAACATGCATAAATCGACTAAGAATCACTTCTAGGCATATGCTCTAATGGAGCCCTGGGTCTATCTCGATTCCTTTTGCCTGTTACAAACATATGCACAAAGACAAAATACCCTGTACCACAGTGTGGTAAAGGGTATACAAATACACGTCTTTAAGTCAGCAGCAGAGGTTCTGAAAAAATCCATAAACATCCACGCCCAAAAAATTCTGCAGCTGAGACTATGAAAAAATTATATAAAAGCTCACGCTTATTGAAGTTAGCGTATGCTCTGAAAAAAAATCTTAAAAAATTCACACCTATACTCTGAAAAAAAATCTTAAAAAATCCACACCTATACTCTGAAAAAATTCTACAAAAATACACGCCTGAAAAAAATATATACAAGTCCACGCCTATCTGAAAAATACTATAAAAATCCACGCCTATAAATATCAGCATAGCCTCTCAAAAATCAATAAAAATCCATGCATATAGAAGTCAACATATGTTGCGAAAAATTATATTACAACGCACGCGCGACATTGTGCGCGTGCTCTGAAAATTGTTAAAAATCCACCTATTGTAGTCAGCATATGTTCTAAAATTTTATAAAAACGGCCACCTCTAGAAGTCATCATATAAACTCTACAAAAATGTATGACTTTCATGACTTTCAGAGGCTCTGAAATTTTTTTATAAAAGTCCGCGCCGATAAAAGTCATCAAAGGGTCTGAAAAATGCAATAAAAGGGTCTGAAAAATGCAATCATCATAGGTTTGGAAAATTCGATAAAAATCTATCCCTATAGAAATCAGGATTCTATAAAAAACACGCCTATATAAGACACCAAAGCCTAAATTGCTTTAAAAATAGAGAATATTTATAAAAATTTACGCCCACCAACCTTATCACAGTCAATAAGAAATTCCTTTAAAAATCTACGACTATAGACCTGAACACAGTCTACGAAAAACTCCACTTAAAACCTATGCCTACAGACCAAAGATGAGTCTATCAAAATTTAATTTAAAAGTGCCTACAAGTCCCTGATTTTTGTTTTATTAATTTCCGCCTGAAGACCTCTGTACAATCTATGAAAAAAATCTTTAAAAATCGACGCCTAAACACAGTCTATAAAAAACTCCTTTAAAATTTACGACTATAGAGATCAGAATAGTTTTTTAAAACCCTCCAATGGAGCTCATCGTGGAAAAATTCTTTAAAAAAATTAAAAATCTACAAATCTCGGCGTAGTCTGTATCCGTTAAACTGAGAAACATTTAAACCATCGACAGGAACAAAATCCACCAACAACAAATGTAAAAAAAAAATACATCGTTGTTATCGGAGTCTTTATATTATACAACGAAATGTTTTTTTTTTATATTAGAAGACCAATGGTACTTTTTATAGTAGTCCAATCGTTTTTTATACAAGAGTACTAGATCTGCTACAGGTCTTCATTTAAAAGATAAGTAGGTTTTCATATTGATACCCAGTAGATAAGTTTACATGAGAACATCTTCGGACTTGATCTAGACTTAGTGAACATAATAGGTTGTACAAAGTCTGGTTCAAAACGTACATTATTCCATTTGCATGATAATGGATTTATAAATTTTGAATATTTTCAACATTTGTGGGGGAGGAAACAGAAGGTGTGGACCAATGGGTCCCATCTTTGGACTTTATAAAGGTAATGAGATGTGCAAAGTTAGGTTCAAATCGGATTTATAAATATTGAAAATTTGTACGATATATGGGGGAGGTACCAGAAGGAGAGGACCAATGGGTACCATCATTGGACTTGATTTAGGCTTATTAAAGATAAAGTTTGGGTCGAGTCGAATAGTCCGTTCGCGGGTATTATTAAATAAATGTTTAGCTCAATTTTGTGGGCGAGGTACCAGAAGGTTTGGAAAAATATTCCCCATCTTTGAACTTAAACTAAATTTGGAAGAAATATTACGATGGGTAAAGTTTGGTCGAAATTGCGTGATCCCTTCGAGAGTTATGGTGCCCTCCAGCCGGCCAGACATACGGACGGACAATAGACTCTAAATTGTCTGAAACAAATTTGGTCCAAAGAAACATGGGATCTAAAATTAATATTTCGATAAGGCACATTTTCACCGTGTGTAAAAAAAAGGGCTGAGGGTATAATAATCAAAGGATATTTGTATAGAAAACCAAAGAGTCTTTCTATGGTAGACCATTGGTCCTTATATAGAATTCCCTACATAGAAACATGTCTCAGCTAGCCCAGATGATCGGAATTCTAAATGGTGGGTGTAGTAACAATATTTCTTGACGTTACAAACTAGGAACCAACTTCAAGCACTTCTTCGCAGAAGACCTTCATCTCATCTACGAAGATGGCTTTCAGATATTTTCTGAATCAGACTTTCAGTTTTTCTATGAAGACCTTCAGCTCTCTCATGAAGAAGAATACCTTCAGCTATGAAGGAGACGCTCAGCTATTCGATAAGAAATAAGATCTTTAACCCTATATAGAAGACTTTCAGTTCATCTGTGAAGAAGAAGACCGTTGTGTAGTATATTTTATAAATTTTAGTAATCAGGCTTCAAATAGTTATCCATATTGCCTTGGGGAATATGTAAAGACATTGGCACTATAAGTGTGACCACCTTGTTGGACTCCATATTGTTGTTGCTTTAGCTGGATATTGCTTTTAGATTTCAACTTCGTTACTCTTACGTACGCATTGTTAATTCTTCACTGTCTATTTTCTTTCACATTCTTTTAATTTTCAATTTTACTCAACATATTTGGAGTTTTATAATGTGTGAATATATTTTCCGACTTACCACTTCCAAAGATGTCTTCAACTTTCCAAACAATGCTGCCCATATTTTATCACGCGTAAAGGCACTCTTATAGCCCTGCAAGATATCAATCAATTCCATAAAGACTTTACGTCCATGATTATCTTTGGGTGGGCCATCACGATACAAAAGCAATGTGGGATTGGTTAAGATGACCAGCAGACGTATAAGAACATCGGCAAATTCCTCATCATTAACATATTCGGGTAACATATAAACCAAATCTGTTTGCAGAACTTTGGCATGGCCCAAATGACGGCGATATTCATGATTGTCAAGATCGCGACGAAGAATCCAAATTAAGTGCTGAAATCAACGAAATCACATTAGTTTTTCTTCCATGAAATATGTTACCACTTACCTTCAAGCCCTGGATGGCATCAGGCTCAGCCTGATAACGTTGCCCATCAGAATAACCCAAGGCCGCACAAGTGGCATCAATGTCAGCCAGCAAGACCGACATGGTTTTGTTTGTTGGATTTTATGGAATGTTTTTGTTAGAATTTAATTTTCACTTTTCCGTTCTTACCGTTTAACCACGTGTTACCTCTTCCCGACTTCTACCCGAAAACTAAATTGTCCTTTAACACGAAACGAAACTGTTTTCTTTTGAGGTAATTTTCTTATTTTGTCACACACGACTACGACGACGAGTTTTAACAACCACCGGTAATTTCGCGAGTAAACAAATAACTAAAAAACAACAACAAATCAAATCCAGTTGTCATATTTGCCGCCATTCGCTTCTGCTGTCATTTGCGAACAGCTGTGCACACAGCAAAACACATGGCCACAGCTTTACGCAACACATGATGATAAAGCTTTTAGTATAAAGCTTTCGTTGTTAGATATTTTAGTACTCACGCATGGTGTTTGTCGTTGCTTTGACCATTGATCGGGTTGGTATGAATGGGTGTGTGCACATCGTTGTTGTTCTTGTTCGTTAGATGTGGTGATTTTCCTTTCGTTGCTGTGGTGATTATTGCCATTCAAATAGCAGAGACTTTAAATGTTGTATTTTTTTAAATTTTATTTTGAAACTATTTACGAAATTCAAAATAATTTTAATAGAAAAGAAAACACTAATTCTTAAAAAATGAAAAAATGCAAAGTATAATGGAAGGTAGATATTTCAATGGAAAAAAGTACATAAAGTAAGTACAAGTGATATGTTATATCTCACACCGTACCTTGTAAATGTACAGAGGGGGTCCACATAAAAAGAACTGTCAAATAGTAAAATGTTTGCCAAATTTCATACGGAAAAACGAAACTTGCCAGAGATTAATTTCAGTACATGGCACTATAGGTCAAATAACCAGTTTTTCTGTGCAAAATTCTAAAATGCAAATGCAAGTCGCTCAATACAATTTATTCTATAAATATGCTTATATGTATTTCTGTGGGGCTTAGTCAACTTTGAGTGCGTGTTATTTCGATTGTGTTGACAATAATTAATTAGTGTAAAATGGATAATATAGATACAAGTGAGTATATTTATATTAAATCAAAACATTTTTATGTTTGCGACACTATACTTGAAAATAACCCTTTAGTCTATGAGGACTTTAAAAAGTTAAAGTAATTTGATAGATTGACTTTCAGTAAGCTATTAAAAAAAAAATGACCCAATATGACCTCTTTGAAATTTTGCACATAAATTAAGTGATAATTAATGAGTTAATTTAAATGTATTTCAAGTGGCCATTTTTTGCGTTTTGCGAGTAATGCCTCTTTTATCTAGGCAACCTCCGTATAAAAAATCGGACTTTTTGAAATATGGCGAAAAGAAGATAACAAAAAGGAAAAACCTGTTTGCAGTTTTCAAACATGTAGTGAGCAAAATTGATGTCGACAACATTTCGAATGAAAGAGAGAAATTTTTAAAGCAAATAGTACATTTATTTTGCTTAAAATTAGCGCAAAATTTGGAAAAATGTCACAGATAGATTAATGTTTTCAAAGACAACCAGTAAGGAAAGATCAAAAGTCGGACGGGGCCGACTATATGATACCCTTTACCACTTTGGGTACAAACAAAAAATGATAATGAGTACAATATCCTGTTGATAGAAGAGACATACCATCTTTGGATGACCATTAACATGGAATCGGGTAAAAAACAAATGTGATCTACATAGATATTTGAGCCAATAAAACCTATACACATGACATTCTGAAATCTATAAGAAAATTGCATGACATTCGCATAAATATTGAAAGTTTGGTGCACCATTTACCTAAAATATCAATATGGACCGATTTCAAGGAAAACATCACAGATGTCAAACTCGACTAAATTCCGTACGCTGTACAAAATTTTGTCCCAATCGGGCAAACATTTTCAATTTGGTGCACCATTTACCTATATATGGGAGCTATATCTAAATCAGAACCGATTCCAACAAAACTTCGCATACATCAATCTGGACATAATTCAATACTCTGTGTAAAAATTTGTCTCAATCGGACCAATATTGGCAGTATGGTTTTCTATTTACATTAAATCGGCCGAAAATATATATGGGAGCTATATCCAAATCTGAACCGATTTTCCGGAAACTTAACACACATTATTCTAGACTCAATTCAGTACGCTATGCTAAATTTCGTGGAAATCAAATGATATATAGGATCTGACAATCGCACAGTGGGTTAGAATACCCTGTTTCCTTGGATTAATTAAAAAATTAAATTTTAAGTATCGTTAAAATTTTTTGCACACGGTTAAAGTATATAAAATTCTACATCATTTGTCGTTGAAATTAATGTCAAAAGTGGACTGGTGTTTTTGTAGTGAAACTTCAAAGTCAAACTTCATACAAATTTTTGTGCCAAAAAAGGCTGAAAAAAGTGAAAACGTTCCCGTAGAAAATTTTATTTATTTTAAAAAGTATTGTAAAAGTTAAACATTTTTCAACGGAACCATGAAGTTTAGGTTATTTTGCAAATACTTCGTTAACATTTGAGTATGAAATTGTGTTTGGAAGTGATTAAGATTTAGTTATTTATATTGAAAATGCCAAAAAAAAAATAATATTTTTATATTTTAAATGGATAAATAGTTATTATTAGTCCACATTCGTGTCATAATTTTTGGTTTATATTAAAGAGGACATAAATCTGTGTTATATTGCAAAATTTTACGCTGCCCTTTTGTGCCTTTTAGAAGCTACGCATTGTTTAATACAAGTGTTGTAGCAGTCAAATTAGCTAAAAGTCACATTGATCTCGTGGCTGGTGCTGTTGTTGAGTGTTGTGTTTTCTTGTTTTTCATGTTATTTTTTCTAATTATTTTATTGTTGTTATTTTTGTTTCTTTTAATGATATTCTTTGTTACAATAATATTTTGTTTTTGTTTATTTTAATAATATTCATTGTTTTGACAAATAGTGATTGTGTTGTGCAGTTTCAAGTAGTCGGGTAAAAGCGTTCTTTATTAGCATTTTTTATAGGTACAAGTTCGAACGTTGTTTTTAATAATCGTCGAAGCTTATGATGAATTCGAGCGCTCAAACAATGAATGACAAGATGGCATTTTTAGCTAAAGAAATCAAAAAAACGCACCAAAACGCTAGAAAAATCTGCCGAAATAACAAAAATATATGTTAATTTAATAAAAATGCACGTGTCGGTTATAGCTGTATCCAGTGGCCATGAGATTAATAATGAAAAATTTCAAATATATGCACACAATACAGGACGACTTTTTGTTGAAACGTATCCTTTGTATAATATGCCTACCACTTTGCACAATTTTTTTTATTCACGGACCCGAAATTGTGTCAAATGCCCTTTTACATATTGAGCAATTATCAGAAGTTGGTGATGCTGCGGACAGAGGTGGCCTGTGAGAAACAGTGACGTAAATGACATACACCCACTCAAAACCATTATGTTTTTTATAAAATGGCTATTAACATTTATCGAGTTGGAAATAACGTATGCTTTACTCAAATTCATATCGAATATCAAAATTTTTTTCTTAAAAAAAAATTCGGAATTTTTTATCAGTTCTAGTAAAGAATAGCCAGATATACAGTAAAAATAATATATGTTCTTGAAAATGACTGTATATGGTGATAATATTGAAATAAATGACGTTTACTACATTTTATACAGGTATATGTCGTTTTCGACGTTTACACCTTTTTGACAGTCGAAATCCTGAAAATTCGTCATACGGACCATCCCCGGCTGCGGATGATGACGATGTGGATGATTAACTTTAAGATGTATAAAATTCAATGTTTAAGTTATCATATTGTACTCCTTGCACTATATACCTACACTGATATTTGGCACTACTTAATAAAATTATACTCAAATATACTTAGAAAACATTTTTTATACCCTACACAACTATGTTGTCAGGGTATTATAGCTTTGTGCAGCCCCAGAAGTTTGTAACGCCGCGAAATATTGGTCCTAGACCCACCTTTAAGTATACCGATCGTCATATCTCGACTAGCTGAGACGATCTAGACATGTGTGTCCGTCCGTCCGTCTGTCCATTATAATTTGTAAACACGATACAGGCCACAGTTATGGACCAAACTTCACGAAATTTTGCATGTAGGATGGGTTCTGGACCAAAAACTTTATTTTTGTCGGTTTTTCTGGTCGCTCCAGAGGCCGCAATTACGACCCAAACGCCGCGAATTTTTGCATGGAGAAGGGGATCAGGCCAAAGAATAAGCATGCCTGTTTTGATAATGATCGGTCAATATTTAGCGGGTCAAATGGACCCTGACTTTTGTGTGAAAAATGACAAAATTTGTATTATATAGCGTATATATTTACCACTGAAGGACATAGACCCGAGAAGTTGATAGTATATCCAAGAGGAGTGGTTGACCATTAAATTGATACCAATTATATTGTCGTAGGTACTCGGATGCGGGAGTTACACTTAAATATTTACAGGTGCTTATGTATTCATATATTATTTAGTAACCTATTATCACACTGGAGGGCGGAAATATAGCGATGATCGCTTTGAAATGTTCCATGAGGTTCCAGTTATGGTCAAGGACAACGCCTAAAATGTTAGGTGATAATCAGTTAATATTTTTCGGATGAAGTGGACCGAAAACTTAATTAATCTACTTTTCGAGTCGAAAGCCGAACATCACAACACAACCCACGGTGAAGGGAATCTGTACAAGTAATTAAAGGTGTTGTACTGATTATTAGTAACATTTGCTGGCCTCTAGTCATTAAAAAGTGTGTAAATATCGCGAAATATTGCCCAATCTCAGAATATAGAACCACAGAAAGTTGGATATTCATGGAAGTTGTGTAGGGTATCGTATGGTCGGCCCCGTCCGACTATACTGCTCTGCTCACTGGTTTTAACTTATTTTAATGGTATTAACTGAAAAATAAAGAAAAATTATTCTAACATAGCTTCCCTGATTTGATCCAAGAAAACATGGTACTCTAACCCACTGTGAATCGGTTCAGATTT